TTGAAATCACTGCAATGGTTGTCTAGGTAGCTACTTTTCCCAATTAATTCCTTAACATATCCAAAATAGTCTAAAAACAATTTATAGATTAAAGAAACTTCCACAAATTTTCGCATATTAAAAGCCATTTGAATATTTTAAATCTTATAAACATTAATAAATTATTTACTCAAGGGGAACTTTTTAAATTTATGTTAAGTAAACTATTTTAATTTGTCTTAAATAAGCAATATGTTGCTCAAATATTTTCTTCTTATTCACAATTTAATCTTTCGTCTTTCGTGGGTTTTAATGGATTCTTCTTCGCTATCTCATATTCTATCTACCCCCATTGAATGGCAAATTAATTCTGTTCTATAACTCAACACACAATGCTGTCAAAATATTGAATTTTTTTCCCTTTTGCTAAATTATCAACGTCAAACGAGAAACTGGGTAAAAAGATGAAAGAAGACAGCAAAATGTCAGAGGAGCGGCGGCTAAATTCGCATCTTCTTCATGGGGCTTTTTTGATTTTTTTGCAGAAGCCAAAGGTTGTCGCTCATGGCCGAAGCGAAATCCCATATAGACAATAAATTTCCCATTTTATTTTCGCCACAGAGCGGGCTTATGGCATTTTTATTACGAATGGGTGAAAACAAAATAAGCAGTAAAATTAATCGTCGACTTAGCTGGCGATTAACGTAATATCAAAGACGGCATCCATTTTGGCGGCTCGCTGTTGAAAACTCAGATCGAAGATTTTTAACTGGCAGTGGAATCTTTTGAGCTTTCGGAGAATTAACTTTAAAGAATTGCCTATCTTTATTGAACTCCCAAATTGGCTTGATCGATTTTGTCATATGCCGAATAATTAAAAGTGTTTTAAAAGGGAACGAAGACGAAAAATAGTAAGATCACAGTCGTAATTTTGTTCGTTTGCACACTAAATAACATTTATTTTTAAATAAAATTTGAATCTGTAATCAGCTTCTGAGGCTGGGTAAGAAAATATATTCATTATCAAAAATATTTATATTAACCTATATCAAACTCTGGATTTAACTCAAAATTGCCATTTTTATTACGAACTACGGGTTTAAAAATGATTTATTTTAGTCATAAATACATATAATTAATTTACCTTATGATTGTAATTATATTCTCTTTCTATTGTAATTATATTAGCCCGACTGAGTGTGAAAAATGATGGAAAATTGAGGAATTGAAATAATAATATGACAATGGATCTGCTTTTATGTACCTTTAGAGATATTTTCAAAACTAATCAGCTGAGTTTGAACTGCATTATATAAGAGCCACTCCCCAATTTTCTTTGATTTGGAAAAGTGATCTGCAAACCCTTTTCACTTGCGCAACACATGTCCCTCACTCCTTCTGCATTTGCAGGATTAGATCCTGAAACCATATGTGCCATACGCTATTGAGTAATGAATCGTCTCGATTTCTTCGATTTCATCTTCGCACACACCTTTTTAGCTGGGTGTGTAAGCTGAGCTCTAATCACGGCGAGCCGATCGCAAATCCTTTTCAAGCCATCTCACGTTTACCAAAAGGTGCCGAAAGCAACCATATAGTGAAAGGATTAGGGGCTCCAAAGCACACATGTCTCGCAGTTCCCTGAATAGGACCAAATTAGTTGTATTCGCCATCGAGAGGAGGCCAAAAATCCTGCCGATCCTCTATTCTCGCATTGTGTGCATTGTGCAAGGAACAAATTAATTGCATTTACTCCGGAAACTCGATACTTTTCCTCTAGCGGGTGTGTGCGATAGTGAAATCCAAAACTTGAGCAGCCGGCACCGCCTTGATTAAATAATTAATAATATTTTATAAACAAGCGGCGTGCTTATCGCACATCAAAAATAAATCTGCAGCTGAGTGTTGCCGAACTACTGATACTGTGAGAAAACAACAACATTAATAAGCATAAATAAGGTTGTGAAATATGTCATATGAAATTCAGAAAAAAATATTGACAAAACTATTAAGCGAAATTTTTATTTAGGATCAATGCTCTTTTTATTTATTATTGTTGATCATATTTTCTGGAGAAGAATATTATTTAATTTAATATAATATTAATTACGAAATATACAAAAATAATAAATATAAATTCAAATTAAATAACCGGGAAATTTAACCAGATCACCGTTTAGCTTTAAGAACATTTATCTAAATCCTCCAATTTTGTTAGTCATGTTTTTTCTTTATTTATAAAAGTACTTGTTTTCTTTCCGTTGATATTTAGCTGCCTAATAGCTGGAAATATTTGTTTTCTTTCCGCGTAAGCTACTTGCTTAGGGCTCTTTAGAAATGGCCCACACAAGCGCATTTGGGCCATATCTTCGATCTGATCGGACCATCGAAAGTGCCACTGTATCGGGTCCTGAAAACGAAGACCGACCAATGACAAAACACAGGCCCAAACAACAAACACGTTAATGTCCCGAGATGTAGATAAGTTCATCAGCGTCGCAATGCAGGCATTCCATATCTCATTCCATTTAAGCACTCAAAAAAAAAAGGTACAATATATATTTTTTTAACATTGGCTTAAGTGGATATCAACAACTAGATTTATATTCAAAAATTATATTTATTTTTATACATTTTGATAATATTAATTTATAATTATTTAACTGTGTTTAAAGTAGGTATTAATTTTGTTTTCCTATAGCTATACTTTTGTACTGGTGACTAATCCCAAAACTAAACCTTTTGTATTATTAGAAATTACTGAATTTCCTTTCCCATTTTGGGTGTGATTTTTCCTCAGTGCAGTTTCGGTTTCCTTCGGTAATTCGCTGACCATTGGGTGTTGACGTCTTGTAGGCGGTAACGATGATGGCGATGGTGATGGTGCTGCCTCGAGGGCCGTTTAAAGGCCGCCACAACTCATCGACGGATTCGTATCTTGTGGATGCGAGTCTCTGTGTGTTCCATTCCTTCTCCATTTGCCGCAGGATCTGCGATAAATCACTTTGTACTGCTGCGCAGCCATCAAAATCAATAAGGGCCGCTCGTTGCGCCGGAAAAAAGGTGTATAAATGGAAACGTTGATGGCTTCATCATTGGCCGACTGCGGCATTGGATCACAGCATTCGTTCCGCTCATGTAGGTCTCCTTTTTTTGATAACTTTTTTTTAGTTTAGGTAGAGGAACCGCTGACCAGATGCTTGATTTATGTCAAACTGTTTGATGACCAGTAAATCTCCGGGTGACGAACATGAACTTCTTGATTGCTTAGTAATGGGGTCTTAATTTAATGTTATTGCCTATTAATTAATCACTTGTATATATTTTTTAGGTTTTTCAGGCCAATGTTTTATTTTGTCAAATATAATTTGTTGTTTGGTCTTTTGCAAGTTTGTTCCGCTGATTTTCCTACCTGAAAAAAAAATGTTGACTCATTTAAAATTTATTTTATTTGTAGCTTACAATTAAAAATAAATAATATTACAATACATTTTTTAATTTGCTATGTTTAAAACATTTGTTTACATTATATTATATTTTTAAATGATCATTTTATACTTTATTGTCTAACTGGCAAATGAATTCGTAATTATTTTCGCAAGGCAAATTAATCATTGAACCTTCCCACATAACAACGCAACTTTCCGTGCCAATATAGTTTTCAGGATCTCTCTGATTAAATCTTAAAAATTTAGCTTTTTTGCCGGAGGCTACAGATCGAAACTCGCCCTTCTTTCTCCGATCGTTGATGCCCAGCCAGAAAAACCCATAATTGACATTTCTTTGGACGCTTAAAAACTCTTCGAGATTTTGGAAAGCCGCTAGGTGACCTTTCTTTTCTTGACATGCGAGCTCGGCATCAGTCCAATTTCTAGCCGAACTCAGTTCAAAATAAAAATACCTCGATCCAATTTTTTTGAAGTTGAAGTCTGCGGCTTTTTTTTCCATCCTTTCATTTTTTTCTTCTTGGATGCCATCCAGTGCTCTTTTGAGAATCGAGTCCGCATTCTGCTCTTTTCGATCCGAATTCGCTTCTATTTCTCCTTGAATTCTGACCAAGGTTTTAAATGAATCCTTTTGAAATCTTATTTTATTTGCTAATACTTTTTTTTCAATTCTGTATAGCGTGTCTTGGTTCTCTTTTTTAATCGCTTCCACATTCGCCCGAGTTTCATTTATAAATTCAGCAAGGATATTTAACTGCTCCTGTACTCTGTGGATCGCCAGTTCATTGTTTAATGCCATGTTTTTATTATAAACCTCTTTTTGAAGTTTGTCATTTTCGTCGTATAATATCCTCAATTTTTCAGTACAAAATCCACCACATTGTTTTGGGACATCCTTCAGAACACAGCCAGATTCCTGATTATCCTGGGATCGCGCCACACCGAAAAGGATACAGACGACCGAGGCGTAGATAATATAAATTTCTAACTTGAACATTTTTTGAACGTATAACCACAAATGGAGTAAGTTGCAAATGAACTAACTCTGAATATAATCGCTGACCTTTATATAGTGAGACTCGAGCGATTATTAGGGTTTCTAAGAAGTAGATCTGGAGATTAAACGAATAAGTTTTAAAAATATGACTTGATATATTTTCAACAAAATCTATTACTCATAATTTCACAATATTTTTTCGGAGAAATCGAAACAATAATTTTCGTGTTAATTACCCTTTTTTATTTATTTTTTATTGTTGCCTTAATCTACGGCTTATTTGATAGTGAATATGTTTTATATTTTTTTTGGTGAATGTGTATGTTCAAATGTAAGTACATAAAATAAGTAGTTATAACACGATTTGGCATCAATATTATCATTACACCTTAAGGCGATAATTTAAGTAATCCCTAAAGATTATAATTATTAAATAAGGGAATCAAAATATTCGAAAATTTTTGGGACATTTTAAATTTGATTTCTTTTAAATCGCCCGCCAAAAATGGGCAGCACTGGCCAAGCTAATCGAAATAAGTTATCGCACAGCAGCTCTGTGACGTCCAACGTTATTGTTTTTTTATTCAGCTGCAAACAAACATTCAAGTACTGCAAATATATATAGAACATATGTGGGAAATGCTTTTTAGATCGAGTCCTCGAGTCGATAACTGTCTATTAGTTCTCGGTTTGTTTGTGTAATTAAACAAAATTTGTTGTGCGCATGTAAAAAAAATATAAAGGTGAGTCTCAGCTGCACACGCACACACACACACACGTGCAAAAAACGCCGGCTGTAAGAAGCAACAACAATTGCGATACCGATTATGCACTTTTCGCGCCCATTGAAATTTCAAATTTTGTGCGCATTCATTGAAGGCGAAAGTCTTGTTTATTTGCCCCTCTTTTTTTGGCACGCATTTCGTTGTTATTGATCGATTGGCAATCGATGAACGAAGTGTGCCCCGCATTCTGAACGTTTTCGTTTTTTTTTCGCTTTTTTTGACTATTTTCTGTTTTCCTTGATGATCTTGGTGCCGTGCCATGAGTTTTCGAAAATAGCCAGCCATTGACACGCCGTCGCGCACACAAATATCGCCCGAGTGGTGAAGTAATAAACCGCACCACCCAAAAAACAACCACCTTGAACCCATTCGGAAAACCCACTTTCGAAAAGTGGTCCCAATTCTAGGGGAATTCGGAGCAGTAAAAGTAAAATAAAATAAAATCAAAGTATTTTATCAACGTGCTTTTAAAGAAAAATAGAGAAAATGATCTATTTTATATGCTAGAACTATTTAATTCTGCTTGTGAAATGTCCAAAAAAATAAATGTAAAATTTAAAAGCCACGGTACTAAACACAATTTTTTTAAAAATTACTTTTGAAATTTACAAACAATTATATATATTACAAAAATGATCAACAGAATTTTTGTGAAGAAACAAAAATAAGTCACCGATAACAAAATAAATGAAGAAATAAGAATAATGAATTAAAACCCGATAGTTTAAATATAGAAACATTATATATTGACGCATACATTTTTCTAAATTTCCTTTCAATTGCAGTTATCCAAATTATCTGTGAACTCAATATGGCTCAGATGACCGAGAAGAGGACCACGTCGGCACGATCGGGAACGGCCGCCAAGGAGAACCACAGTTTGACGGGTCGGCACAACCAGAATCAGAGCCTCCACAATCAGGGTCACCAGCGCAGCGGCAAGGGCATCGAGATCCTCGACTTCCACGAGTCCTGGCTGGAGGAGGTGGAGCTTTACAAGGACAAGATGGTCATGTGCAAGAAGCTGGCCCACCACAATCACGTTCCGGCCTCGACGCAACACTTTCAGCCACACCTTACAGCCCCGATTCGAAATCAGGGCCGAGCCATCCCCTCCAGCACTCCACTGCATCGCAGCGCAGCTGGTGGAGGATCGACTTCAGCATCCGTTTCCGCCTCCGCTCGCTCTTCGCCGCCCGGCCAAAAGCAAAGGTCCCCGCCATCGCCGCGGAAACGCCTGACGCCGGAGAAAGCGGCCGCCCTGGGAGGTGGAGCATCCAAGTCCGCCGCGCAGCGCATTGTCATCCGGGGATCCCCGCCCAACAACTCGCCACCCAAGGTCGCCATGACGCCCCCAAGTCCGACTCCCGTCGTGGCCAACAGCGTGCTCCAATCGGAGCCATACAAGAAAGTCCAGGTGAGTGGAATGGCCATTCTATTTGTTAATATCTATGTTACAATCGTAAGCAGATTTGTTTTGTATTTTATTTAGTTAATCCGTGGTCTTGTGTCAGAATTTAGGCTCTTCGGTAACTGAAAAGCATATAAAATAACTTATTTTTTATTCCAAAACTTTGCAATGATCCAAATTTACCTGTGAAAAAAGGAACTGCATAATGTTTATTTATGATAAAGATTGCACTTTGAATAATATTACACCTGTCATTGTTTTTATATTAACAAAATGTTTTCTGCTTTGCGCTCGTATCATCAATACTCATTATCCTATTTACTAAAAGACGCTTGATTAAATAAACAGAAAATCTAGAATATCATGATCATGTTTGCAGTTCCCATTCCCTGCACCCTCGTATATATAACCTCCCAGCCGCTAACCAGCATGTCTCCATTTTTGTGTCACCTTTTCTTCCTGCGTGTTCCATGTTATGTGTTTCCGCTTTCGCCAACTAACCAACCAGATGCTATTAAAGCGCGCGAGGGAGGAGGCCTTCGCCAAGCACTCGGTGGGCAGCTCAGGCGGCAATGGCAACGGACCCAAGCGCTCCAGCCTCAGTCCGCCCATCCAGGCCAAGGTCGCCCCCTCGAGCATATCCTGCTCGAGCACCCAGACCCTCAAGCCATCGGCGCCCAGCAAGATCGTGGTGAACTCGTTCCACGGCAGCAGCATGCTGAGTGGCCAGCAGCAGCAGGAGGAGAAGAGCCGGCTGCTCACCCAGAACGGACTGACCAAGTCGGCGGTCAGCGCCTTGGAGACGAGCCTCTACGCCTCGCTCTACGCCCATGGACCCCAGAACAGCCAGCAGCAGACCTACAGCCAGCGGATTCCCGCCGGAGATCATGGCCTGCCGTATGTGGGAGTCTCGCTGAACAAGGGAGCCGGACACGATCACGACCGGAGGCACGAGGACGATCCCTGTGCAGGTGAGAATAAAATAAATAGCACCATAGAAACGTAATTTCCCAACAAAATCAATCGCAAATTGATCAGATCAAAAGGAACTAACTGGAAATTCGTTTAAATCATTTAAACTCTTATTCAAAATAAGTCTTATAAATCCTTATCCAGACCAAAGAGAATCTACGTTATTCAAAAAAAACGCTCTAATACTTTTTCTATTCTATTAGCCATCGACGACATTAATAACTACGATGATTCGGACTCGGAGGAGGAGTACGTGGGCACGCCGTTTTTCCTGGAGGAGGACAACACGGAGACGCGCCAGAGCAAGCACACTCGCCTGCTGCCGGAGAAGACGCAGTCAAAGGAATCCGTGGCCACCACAGACTCAGAGGCGTCGGTCTACTTCCGTCCGGAGGCTATCCTCTCGCCCAGCCTTTTCCCGCATGTTCCGCCGTACCTGAACTTTACGTCGCACGCGGACAAGGGTCCTCCCATGCCGGCAGCCCTGCATCGAGTGCTCAAATGGAAGCTCAGTCCCGTGATGCCCAAGATTGTCAAGCGAGTGGTGCTCAATTCGGGCTTCCGCATCATCAAGAGTGGGTATTCTAGTGGGAGCTGCCATTTACGGCCTTTCTGATCCTTTATCCCTTTGCAGACACCACCGATTGGATGGCCGTGTGGGAGAAGCACATGAAGAGCCCTGGATTCAGGACCATTCGATCGCACCAGAAGTACAACCACATACCTGGATCGTTCCGAATTGGGCGGAAAGACACCATGTGGCGCAGCATCTACAACAATATGAAGAAATTCGGCAAGAAAGAGTTTGGCTTTATGCAAAAGTAAGCAGTGGAGGATTTACTTATATATCAATCTCATCTGTAACCATTTATTTTTTATTATTTCCTTAACAGATCCTACATAATGCCTGATGATCTGGAGAGCCTGCGCCAGGTGTGGCCTAAAAACGCCTCGAAGCTGACGAAATGGATTGTAAAGCCGCCGGCGAGTGCCAGAGGAACCGGAATACGCATCGTAAACAAGTGGAGCCAATTTCCCAAGGACCGACCGCTGGTGGTGCAAAAGTAGGTCTACGATTACCTTTTAGTGACCCTTGATTAATGGACCTTTCCTTTCTTTTCAGATACATCGAACGCCCGCTGCTGATCAACGACAACAAGTTCGACATGCGCCTGTATGTGGTGCTGACCTCGATCAATCCGCTCCGCATCTATATGTACAAGGATGGACTGGCGCGATTCGCGTCCGTGAAGTACAGCTCGGAGCTGAGCAATCTCGACGAGCGCTGCATGCATCTGACCAACTACAGCATAAACAAGTTCTCGCAGAACTACGCGAAGAACGAGGACTTCAATGCCTGCCAGGGTCACAAGTGGACGCTTCAGTCGCTGTGGTCCTGCCTGGAGAATCGTGGCGTGAACACCAAGCGCTTGTGGGCCACCCTGCGGAATCTGGTGATCAAGGGTATCGTGAGTGGAGAGTCGGGACTGAATCGCATGTACCGCCAGAATGTGAACTTCCGCTACAATTGCTTCGAGCTCTTCGGCTTTGATGTGCTGTTGGATGAGAATCTAGTGCCCTGGCTGCTGGAGATCAATATATCGCCGTCGCTGCATTCGGAACTGCCGTTGGATCTGCACGTGAAGGGTCCGCTCATCCAGGCCGTGCTGAATACGGCTCTGTATCAGGTACCGCCAAAGCTGAACGAGCGCCAGCAGACGGAGATCCTGGAGGAGCTGAATCTGGCCGGTCCGCTGTGCCATGACAAGCGCATCTTCACCACGTGTTTGACGGCGGAGGAGGTGCGCAAACACAACCAGTACACCAACCGGAGCATCGAGTTCCGGGAGGAGTACGTGGACACCATACTGGACAACCTGCTGCCCGACGATGTGCGCTGCCTGATCGTCGCCGAGGACGAGCTGGCCAGGTGCCAGCCGCTGGAGCGGATCTTCCCCACTGCCGGCACCCATGTCTACCTGCGATATGTGGAGAATGCGCGGTACTACAATCGCCTGCTGGACGCCTGGGAGACGAAGTACGCCAAGAACCGGGAGATGGGCATTGCCCTGCTGTCGCGCTACTGCCGGGACAAATACCATTTGCAGGTATCGGACGCCGCCATGGAGAAGGTGAACGATCAATACAATATTTCAACATTTCCCATTCCGTCCCGCTTCCGTAGCTCATTTTCAAGTCATATTTCTTATCTAGGAACCAAATGTTGCACTTACCGAGATCGATATGTTGCACGTGCGAAAGGATGAGGTCCTGGACGGTGCCACCACGCTGGCCTTGCTTAAGCCCGCTGCCGTGGACAGCTGCGAGGTGGTGGTGCCCAGTCCCGACGCCTGCATCGAGATTAAGTCTTGAAACCTCAGCTGAGATCGGCCACATCAAGCGAATCTGCAATCGCCACCGCATATCGAGATCATCATCAAACGAGTCACTGCTTCCATTTCCGTTTCCGTTCCCGGCACAAAGCAGCGCCCGCATCCCGTTCAAATTCACTTTGGAATTGTCTCCACCCAATAAAGTTACTCAACTCCGATCGTCTTTATCCCTCTAACCAAGTAGATTATATCCTGTTTAGTCGACGGCATCGAAATCAAGTCTATTTTGTGTGTCTTGCAAGGCCTGGATTGCATCTGTTATGCCATTATTATTTAATTTCTTTATTATGGATTATAGACAAATTTAAAATGAATAAACAAAATACTCCATTTCCTGGTGTAATAGTTGTATAAATAAGGCTTTCTTTATTTTTCAAAGGAACTGTCTTGAAAATCATTAAATTTTAGGTGGCATGTTTGAATGTTTAAAAATTTAAAAGTTGATTCACAAATTGATATTAGATAATAAAGACGTTTAAGTAAAAGTTCAATAAAAAGTTCTGCCCATTTATTGTTTCAATAATATTCATATTAAGCAAATATAATAATTAATTTAGAAATAATAATAATTTAATTTTAAATCAATCAGTACCATTTTAAAACAACCGCGCTTTCGGCGATACGATATACGTAGCCAGGTGTAATCGATATTAGTTTTGTGCCTTTTTTAAAAGAAAAAGTTTTGGCCACACTGTTTTTAACCTTTCTTACATTCTGTTTTAAACTTAACAAAACAAAACAAAATAATTTAAATTGCATTGTAAGAGATATAACAATATAAATAATAGTATAATGTACATCTTCACCGCGCTAACTATTATTATGAAGTATGATCGGAATAATTTGGCTGGATAATACACAAATTGGATCTGAAAGAATTGGACGCATGAGAAAAAAGAAGTGTCCCATTGATTTTTCGCTGTAATACTAATTTACTATAAGAATAACTGGAGTTTTACCCGCAAACCAGAAAAATGAGTGGTAAGAATCGGATTTTATATAAAGTAATTACATTTTTATTTAAGTTTATGGTTTTGTTTATATGGGGAAGCATTTTGTAGGGACAGTATGGGAATTTGCAGTCTACTTTTGGGGAGTGGGGGTTACATCGGCCAAGGGGGTTGAGGGGGTTGAGAGTCCTGGCAGGAAAGGACGCACCTGCGCCCTAACCTCCTCTCCACCCGCCCTAAAAGCCCAGCCCCCCGATGAAGTCATCAATTTTGTAACATTGTATATACAGTGGAGCAAATCGAGTTTTTGGTGACCTAAGCTAGTTATAAAATAAGTTATATATCACTTTTAACTATGGTTAGGATGCGTACGTACTTTATTTGTATCATTTTTTTGTTTTCTTCAAAGAAAATGAGCAGTTCCTCTGCTGAAAATCAACTTTCCATTTTGAAGCATACTGATTCTAACATTTTACCATTCCAAACAGGAGACGAAAGTGGCGAGGAGAAGCAGATCCTGAATTTATCCAAGAAGAAGCTGAAGAAGGTGCCCAAACAGGATGATGCACACAGCATCCGGCAGCTCATTCTGGATGAGAACGAACTCCAGAAGATCGACAACATAGACTCGTACCTAAAGATAGAAACGGTGACCATCACAATTCGACACAAAATGTTTTCCATAATTAATTTAAGCTCTGTTACAGCTTTCCTTGGCCAAAAATCAATTGCTGCGGATGTATGGCGTCTGCCGGCTGCACTGCCTCCGCGAACTGAACCTCTCCTTCAATGGCATACTCTCCATCGAAGGACTAAAAGAGTGCAACCACCTACGTGTATTGAATCTGGAGGGGAACAACATCAAGACCATCGAGCACCTAAACACGAATGTCAATCTGGAATCCCTGAATCTGGCAGACAATAGCATCTGCAGCATTTCGGATATGTCCTTCTTGCGCAACCTCAAGGAGCTCTATTTGCATGGAAATCGGTTGACGCATCTAAGACTGTGCGATAAGTACTTGCCCACCTCTCTGGAAACCCTAACGCTGGCGAAAAATGGCATTAACGACCTTAACGAGATCTGCACGCTGTCCCATCTGAGCAATCTGCTGAGCATTTCCATTTCGGATAACCCCTGTGTGAACATGACCAACAGCTTGGAGTGAGTTTCCTTATAGTGTTTTTTTTTATATAATCGTATTATAGTCTAGCACTCACTCTAACAATTTTAACATAATAAGAACATACGTTCGGTTTTTCACAGCAAAATTATGTGTTTGAAACAGGGAAAGCTTCAAAAGATGAAAAACTGATGCGTTATCCATTTTTTTTTTATATTCAAGACAATAATTGTATATCTCAATTTCAATAATATTAACTAATTTAAAAAATTAATTTTTAATACAAATTTAATCAAATATTACGAATATTCCTCTAATATCTTTTTATTTCCAGTGGCTTTGACTACCGACCTTTTGTATTAAACTGGTGCATGAGTCTGAAGTACATTGATGGCTATGTGGTGGATCCTATCGAGAGTCTCAAGGCGGAGTGGCTCTACAGCCAGGGACGTGGTCGCCAGTTTCGAGTGGGCGAACAGACGGCCTTGGCCAAATACCTGAGCTCCATGTGCCCGCTGGTGGGAAAAGCACTGGAAAATGAGAACGACAGGAAACTGCGATTGATCCTCAGCAAGGCGCAACACCATCAGCGGCAGTTGCAGGAGGAGATCTTGGACAATGCCAATAGCTCCGCCAGCACATCGCCCTCATCCCATCGTAGGAAGCCCACGAGTCGCATTCAGTCGCCCCGATGTGAGTTATAAAGTGATTTACTCTTTACTGTAAATCTAAATCTTTTATTTTCCTCATTTAAAGTCTCTCGTTTGAGTGGACGCCAGGGATCGCCGGAATCCATGGCGAATAGCTATCATGGCAACAGCAGCAACAACAGCATCGTCAGCGACAATGGGTCTGCAAATCATTCGCTGCAGATGAGCATTTCGCTGATCGAGAACATCAAGAACGATGGCGAGGGCTTCTCGCTGGCTGGCAGTGGAATGTCCAGCAGTGTGACCACCAAGACCTACAACTCCACGGAGTCCACTCCAAGAAATATAACACCAAATCCCTACAATGGTAAGAACCTAAGAAAACTGTATGTAAACCATTAAACAATCATTAACCATTTCGCAGATCAAACGTTCATCAGTCAAACTCCATCTGGAGGCCCATTGGCGGCTGCCTCGAAAATGGTCCCAGTTCCGGAGACCCTGATGAGTCCGGATGTCTGTCCCGCCGCCGTCGCCCAAAGAGTTACGGTTACCGCCCTCAACTCGCAGCTGCACAAGACCAAGGTCAACAAGAACAAAGGTGGCCAGTAGTACATAATCTAGATCCAAAAACGACACTTGCTAATTCATACATGATTTTTTACTGTACAGACAACAAACTGAACTTGCCAAGGGTACGAAGTCCGCAGCTGAAGAGGAACCAGAGTCCCACGAGCAGTCCAAGGAGGATGGTCACCAAAGCGGGCGGCGATAAAATCCATCCGCAACAGCAGGAGAAGCTACAGACATCGGTAGTCATGGTAGATGCCGGTGGTTTTAGTACATGCTCCGATGACGATGGCGATCAGATCAACATCGAGAAACTGAAGGCCATCAGAAAGATGGCTGCCCAAAAACAGCAGCAGATGCACCAGGAGCAATTGAAGCAGCAGATGGACAACAGCCTTAACTGCGAGGATCGGTTGATCGAGCACGTAACGGAGTCATCGGCCGTTACCATCCAGAAAATGTGGAGAGGCTACCACACGCGCAAGAAGACCAACAAGGACATAGCCGAGCGACTGCAGCGAAGACGCACGCAGGAATATATCGAGTAGGTGGTCTTTGAGCTGCGTTTCTTGATGCAGATACGCCAAAGTTCGATCCCAGTTTCCTTATAAACTGCCCTTCTTATCCCCCAGGCAACTCGGCAAGGACATGCTTTTAACCAAGGCCCAGCTTGAGAACGAGCGCAAAATTCAGCAGCTGCAGATGCAGGCCATCAATGCGCTGTGGAAGAAGGTGTCCACGATGGAAGTGGACCCCAAGGGCGTTGCCCCATCAATGGAGCAAAGCGAGGACTCCATCGGAGGAGGAAGTTCTGGCCACCTAAGCCTCGATCAGAATTCAGCCGCCGTCGTCAACGATCTGGCCAAAAGATGCACCATGCTCACCGACCAGGTTCAAATGCTGCAGAGCTCGATTGGCACCATCGTCAATTGCCTGACCATGGTGTGCAACCTGCCACAGGACGCTATTAAGAAACAGGCAGAGATCATCGACTGCAGCTCCACTCAGACGGACTTAATTGCCGTGCACACACCACAGATCGAGGATCTCACCAATTTTCCTTTCACCAAGACCAGACCCTCCACTTTGGCCCTGGAATCCAAGCACGAATCGCTGGCATGCCCCAAAATCGATGAACTCAACGATGTTGATCTCAAGGAGACCGACGACCCGACTCATCTCGAAAAAGAAGCATGAAAAATCCCAGTTAATAAATAGGAGTGTAAACGCTTTAAGGATCGATCTCAGCGCTTATTAATTCCCTGTGTAGGCTTTTGTGTAGCTTTTGCATCAATTTTTAGATCGGTTACATCAATTTAGTAGTAGCAGCAGCAGCCACAAACACAATTTTTTGTTACATTTTTGAGATGTAGTGATGAGAGAAAAAAAAAACCTATGAACAAATCTTAAATACAAATTTTTGTAAAACACAAATCAATTATGGTTTTGGGCATTATTATTCGGATGATTTAAAATTTTTGTTTTAAAAACAAGTAAGGTATACAAACTATTTTTTATTTATGTACATTTATCAGATAGGTGGGAAATAATTCTCAAGATTAGCATTCTGTATATATTTACTGTCCGTACGCTTCTATGTACAATAATGACTTGATATCATCAATATTCGGTATGAATGCAAGGCTATTAAGACTTTAGCTGCCGTTTCCGTTCGTGTTAAAAATAACATGGATTGCCAGACGCATTAACAAACAATTTTTGTTTAATTCTTGACCAAGCTTTTAACAAGTTTTAAGAAAATCTTAACTATATAGAGTAATTTTGTACGTATAAAAGAATTTCAGTCTTCGTCGCTGGATGTTTCATCATCATCCTCTTCATCGGATGATTCCTGATTTAAAGGACGATTTGTATTGGGCAGGAGATCATCCTCACAGTCGGAATCCTCTTGATTTCTGTTGGATGATTCCTCCTGCACTGGTTTCTTGGCGAATTTATCCGGCCAAATGCCAGCTTTGGTGTATTCCTTGATGTGTTCTGGGGTAAGTATCTTACAGATCTCGGCTTTGACTTTATCGCCCTCTTCAATAGGTTCGATCAGCAGGAAATCGCCCCTTTTCACCCACATGCTCTTTCGGAATTTGTTAGGCATCGAAACTGGTGGTAAATGGATTTGATTAATTACTAGTTATTGCTGAGTTTTCATGCACTCACCTAAGAAGTTTTCCTCGATATTGGCCGTTTCCACCTCGTGGAGATTGTTTCCCCGACTGCTGACGACCCTCACAATTTGCTGGTTCTCCGTGGGCAGCTCGTAGTCGTCCTCCATCATCTCCTTCATCAGATGTTTGCGGCGACTGATACTCGGATGGGAGCGGTGCATTTTATATGCTTTGAATATTTAATTTAAAACTCAAAATCGCAAATTGACTAAATTGTCAAAATTTGTTTACTTCTTTTCAGTGTGACCGTCGAAAAGTAAATACTTTTATACCATTTCCAGTGTATGACAAGTGCTATCGATTTTTTTCCCGGTTCGGACCATTTTTATCGATGGGCTAATTTGAAATTCAACCGTTTAATTTGAATTCAGAGTTTATATTTCCGATTGGGGAAAAGTAAGAAGATGTTGGTAAAATGGTGGGAAATAAAACAAGGGAAAATGAAAAAAGACGTTTCAGTTCCAGTATTTCAAACGAAGCAAAGCACATCAAAAACATCAATAAAAGTATGATCACAATAGCAAGAGGACATTTTATTTTTAGAGCCACGCCTGCCTTTAAAGTTTTTATACAATTTTGTAACTTAACAATTAGTGGAAAATTAATCCATGTAACGAGAAATTTTCTTAGCAATAGTGTAATAAAAAGCAACTAGGAATAAAAAATATATTATCGCGGTGTCTAGAGCTATCTAACTAGTTTTTGCTGCGCCTCAAAAGCATGCGCTCCTTTAGAGAAATCCGTCCGGACTTTTCCACCTTGGTGGAGACGTTGCGACGGGATTCGATTTGGGCCTGCTTTGATTTCTTCATCCTGGAAATATAACAAATAATTAGAGAGTACTTTTTTTCATAAGATATAAAATCTTACAATTCATTCAAAAGACTAGTGATCTCCTTTTTCCAAATATCCTTAAAATCATTGGTGAAATTAGTCCAGTACTCGAAAAATTGATCGGGCGTACACTGGGCTAAGGTCAGGGTGCAGGCCTTGGGTGAGAAGTGATAAAACCTCATGGTCTCCAGGAACAGCTCGCGACACTCCTCGAGCAATTGGTGGAGCTTGGCCATCGACTTGTCCGCTCCCTCCATGAACTCCTCCATTTTGGACTTGAAGGGCTCCATAATTTCAGGACGGGAGGCGTTCAAAACCTTGGCCGTGGTTCGTTTGCAACCTATAAAAAAAATGTCGAAGATTAATCAAATTTGAGAGGTTTAAATAAGAGACAGTTTAAAGAAAAGTATTTTTTAGTTTTCCCTTTTCGAACTTTTTTCGATTTTGATTAGTTTCCAAGATACACATTCATCTTCTATTTAAATCACATATATATCAATCTTCCGACTTACCTAAAAACTTCTTGTTGAGGTCAAAGATTTGCTGCTGCACCTCCTCGAAATCCATTTGGGCAGCTCTCTCCACCTCCGCAGGTTCTGGAATCGGCAATCGGATCTCCAAAGGATGCACTCCCTCCTTTCTCCGGTGCGCAATGTAAGTGCGAACGATGAAGTGGAGCAAGGTGGTGTGCGATTCCTTGGACTTGACGTCCTTCAGTTTGCCCAAAATATCCAGATTAAACCCATCGGCCTGTCCTCGCTGCCGATTTCCCCCGTTCATGTAGTTGCCCAGTGTGAGAATAATGGAGAAGACCAGCTTCAGGTCCTCACTTTCGATCAGTTGCTGCGAGAGCTGCGACAATGTCTCTAATTTCCGAACCAACAGAGTTACGGACTCCTCGAATTCCGCCTGGAACACGATGCAGGAAATCCTTTCGCTGGCCATGGAAATCAGCGATATATCCAGCAGGAATTGCTCGGGATGATCGAGGGGGATGTCGCCACCGGCTGCCTCCTTGATCCTCTGCAATTCGTCCTCGGTCGCCTGAATGTTGCTCATGTGCTGCAGTGCCTCCAAACTGACCACCGATGTGTCTATATGGTATATTGCGTGTTCGATTTCCCTGGACGGCACGTGCAGGCTCCTCCAGATAATGCCCACATTCCGTGATCTCTCCGGATCCAGGACTTTGATGGACTTTGCCCGCTTCACCTTCAGTTCCTTGGGCTTGCTTACCGGTGCCATCGCTTGGCGGGAAAACAGTTCCGTAAACTCATCGATATTGTCGAGTGGCGTTTCCTCGATCTCCGTCCAGATTTCCTTCGTGGGCGGAGCAGTGGGCGTGGCTTCCCCACCGGAAGCAGACGGAGGTTCATCCGGCGAACTCCCGCTGTTTTCCGTACTGTCCGTGGAATTTGCCACCGATGGGGGGCGTGGCACAGGCGGGGCGCTTGTCACGATCCGCGTCCAATATAAAGGACGCATCGGTTTCGGCGGGTTAACGGCGCTTTTGCGCATTGCTGTAAGTAATAGGGTTAATAGGTTATTTTTTTGTAAAAAATAGAATTTTGGTATATAACTATTTTATAATTCTTATATATGGCATAACTTTTAGAGGAATTTTTTCATTAAAACCGCGACCCGAATGGTCAAGTTTTGGTTGATTCTATTGCAAGTTATTGGAAACTGAAATGTATCTTATTAAGCAAAATTGAAACATTGATTAGCTTTTAAAACGAAAGCTAACTTTGGCAAGCAAACTTTCATTTCATAATTTATATAAAATTTAATTTATATACCCGTAGTACTTACTATTTGTGCGATGGAACCAATTGCCTTCGGCGGGATCGGGAAGTGGTGCGGGTGAGATCGGGGTCTTTGGTGGCGGGGGAATGGCCCCTCCTCCTTCGGTGGGCGCGGGGGGGGGGGGGGGCGGGCAGCCAGGAGGCGGTGGCGGCGGAGGAGGTGCCCCACAGTTTGCGGGGGTGGAGGAGGAGGAGGTGGCGGCGGAAGAGCGGTGATACCAAAGGGGGCGGCGGTGGAGGCGGCGGCGGAGGAGGCGGGGCAAGGAGCGCAGGGGCGGGTGGTGGCGGAGGTGGGGGAGGGACAGGGACAGGAGCCTTTTCCTTATTTCCTTCGTTTTCCTTGGCATTTTCCCTCAAGGACTGCCCGCATTTGCAGGCTCCCTCGCAATCCTCCGTTTGAGTTTCCGCATCCGCGAAACTCCTTAAGCCACCCTCCATTCCGGACTTGTTGTATTCATAAACGGTCGCCTCACTGGCATTTAACAGATCCGTAAGATTCACACATCTCTTTGAAGGACGACGCGGTGGCTCATCCACACTGCTCAAAAGTTCGTTCACCACCGCATGAACCTCGGCCAAAGTGGAGCAGTTGAGAAGACGCTTCTTGAGGATTTGCTGCAGGGTTTTCTGATTATCCGTCGATGTGGATGCAGTGGCAGTGGCCGCCAATGATCCTCCGATTGCACCTGCTCCCAAGGCAGCCAAGGAAGCGGACTCCAGGACTCGAGTTCCGGATGGAGTGCTGGAAAACGGCCAAGCCGCAACCTTGTCCAGTTTTCCGGGGGTCAGAGGCAATGAAGTCGTCGGCTGCTCAGTATGAGTCCACTGGTACATCTCATACGGCTGGGGATTAACAAATAGAAAAGAGAAAATATTAAAATTAAAAAACATTAAAATAAAAGTGGGAAGTTAAATTATATCGATTGGTTCTTAATGTAAAATTCATCATCACAAGATTTTGGTTTGTAAAGGAATTTTCATTAATAAAGCCACAATACGGCCAAAAAAAAGAAAAGCCTTGATTTAGATCCATTGATTTATATAAAAATTAGCTGAACATATATGGTAATTGCCCAATCAAAATAATAAGGACACTATATACTATTCTTTCTGTGCAACCAATAACTTCTAATTGCCAGTGGAGTGGGATGAAAAATAAAGGAAAAGGACAGCCAGAAGTATCAAGAAAGAGATGGCAAGTGGTCTCCAGTGTGCGACAAGCGAGAACGCTTAAAAGCACCTAAGTTGGCCTAAGTTCGCGTTATTTTCTACAATGCTCTTGTCTTTTCTCTGCATGCAAAACTCTTTTGATTTTGATAGTGCATGTTGCCGTTGACTTTTCAGTCCCACTGTGGGAATTGCCTTTGCTTCTTTTAAAGTCTTTAAGGAAAAGAGAGTGCAATACATCAACATTTACTAAATGTGCTTGGATTCTTAAGCGCTAGGACTTTAAAAACAAATTTAAAAAAGATATTAATAAATCAGTTGTAAAAAAAAATGGTTAGGATACTTGCAAAAAAGAAGTAAAGTAAGAAACTTTAACTTCTTAAAGACCTCTTAATGGGATAAACTAAGGCTCCTCGAAAATGAGCCTCAAACATGAGGCGTAACGATGACAAATGCAATTAAAATTGCAATTTAATTATGCCGTTAACAAGTGGAGCTTAAGCAGATACATTGATACACAAACACCCACACAACGCTAATCACTCAAAGAACTGTGAACCTGACAAATGCAAATCAAGTGCAACAGCCTGTCCCTGTGGCTGATTTCGTAGATGAACACACACAGTATAAGGGGTTTTTCCGATGGAAATAAGGAGAGCGGGGGAAAATGGTGCGGCAGAGTCGAGTTTATCGCACTTTACACCATTTGTGCTCAAGTGTTTGCAGGCGATTTGCATGTTGTTTGCACATTTTAAAGAACCGGAGCCGACCAAAGTAACCCAAGAAACCCACAAGTAACTGGAGTGCAACCCCCAACTACTCACTAAGAAAAAAAGAGCCACAAAGTGTAGCTTAAGAAACAAAACCTTAAACCATAAGAGACCACATAAAGGTGAGCAGAAAACCGAAAAATGCAAAATGCTTTTTTAAAAATAAAGAAGTCCAAATTTAAGTCACTCTTTTACAACACATCGGAATTTAGAAATAACTAACATGAAAATCCGTTCTACGCAGGTAATAAATGCTTTAAATAAATATATAAATAAATCAAAATATGTCAGTTGTAATACACACTTGAGTCTCTATGGAATAAGCTAATAGCTAATAAAGTGTTTACAAAATAGAGAATAAACCAGATAACAACCTTTCGCTCTGTATTTAAGTTGACCATTTAATAAGTGATTATAACACAATTTCAGCCTGTTTTCCAGCTTGGTTGTTGCCCAATTCCCACTTAATTAACAAAAACATCGAATTCTATTTAATCTAATCCCATCAGCCACTTGATACAACCTCATATATGTATGTGTATATTATATAAAGTTAAACAACAATCGAACACGCGCAGAATAACAAACCAATACACACGAACCCACAGTAGTTCCATTGCACATTCAAATCCAGTTTGCTCATTTCTGCATCAAAGTTTCGTTTGTTCCGGCAGAACCCAAAGAATAATACCAGTGGATTGAGTAGGACAAAACTTTTGACTGCGAGTAATAAAAACGCACAAACTTTCAATGAGCGGCAGCAACAATAACAAGAAACAGAAAAGACTGGGGAGTAAAAAAAATATAAAGGTATTGTGATCTCTGGGAAAAGACAACCCATTAAAAATTAGGAGAAATAATGTTCTGCCGAGAAATTAATAAGTCACAGTTTTTAATATAGTTACACTATAAATTTTTTATTAAGAAAATTTGTACTCCCCAAATGTAGGCTATACTTTTTTTAAAAGGGAAATAAGTGGAACATTTGTGGTCTCTTCAATATAGTTACAAATTAATATTTAACAAAGTTTGAATTTTTTTTTGATTTAGTATACAAATTTTTTTTAACACTACAAATTTTTTTTAAACACAAATTTTTCTTGTTTTTATGTTTAATTAAAAAGATTATATGACAGACATATAACTGCAATAAAATAATAAAATGTTGTATATTTTAAAGTCCGAAATAGCGATGGAGTACTGTAGAAATAAAACACCAACTAAAGTCAAAGCCGAACAACGAACCTTTGACATAGTCGCTCCCTCTCTTTCGCTCCCTTGTGTGCTGGCCTGTTGCCCAAAAAGTTCGAACGAATTTCGGAGACATCGGAGACGTCGGCAGACATATATATAAAAGTATGTGTATATCTACTTGGCAGCCAGTTGAAGAAATCCGTGATATCATAATCTTGAGCTCAAGTATCATCACATAGAAAATCACTTAACGGTGTCGTCTGCCGCCCCCCTCCCCGATTTTCCCACCCCGATGATTTTGGCCATGTGTGCATGTGTTTTGGCCCTCTCAGGGATTTGAGGTTAAGCTGCTGTGGCTAAAACTTTTGGCCTAAACTAATTTGAGGGCTATATCTAGTGCTTCATTATTTGCGGTGGTTTTCGGTTGTTGTTTCTTGGTTGTTGTCGTTATTTTTGCAGCTCCTGCTGTCGCCTGTCTAATAACACTTAACTTGGGTCTCGGTTTACAGCCCTCGAAATGGAAATGGGCCAGCTTCTTTGCCTCCTTTTTCTAGTGGGCAATTAAAGCCTTCCGCCTTTTTCCCCAAAACAGCTTGTTTATTTAGCTTTCTGGTCAAGAGCAATGCTAAATGCTAAATGCTAATACCCGATGATATAGCCAACTATTATGAAGTCCATTAGGCCCGGCAGATGGAGATGACCATCGCCAGATGGTTGCCAAAGAGTTGGACAAAGAACGAGTGGATAAAAAGGAAACTGCCATTGCAGCAGGGTGATATTAGAGGGCTCGGTTTTCACAATGCACTTGGAAAAATAGTATTTATATTTTGAATATATAAAAACAAGTTTTTATACTCGATAACATCTTTTATTCTAAATTTTTCATAAGACTCCGTTTAAAAAAACATATTTATTTTTTATAAATAACCTATTTATCCTAAATAAAACAAACTAGTTTGCATTTTAAATACATTTTCTTAATACAACTGACATGGTGGAAAACCTACAACTTAAAACTCTGCTTTAAGTGCAGTATTTCTCCCAGTGTACAGCTTTGGTTTCATAATTTCGCAGGCAGCAAAACAACAAAATCAACAGCGAAAGCGTAAAATTGTTAATGCAGGCAAGGAGAACTTGGCTTTTGATAGTTGACGGCTGCCGACTGTAAAGTTTTAACAAGTTCTGACACTTGCAGGCGGGGGCGTTGGGGGGGCGTGGCCGGGGTTAGATGGACAACCGCTATTGCTCGGTTAAATGAAAGTGCAGTGAAGGCTTGGCCCTTTGGTTCTGCCTAGGGTTTTCTTCCCTTTTATTTTATGTTTCACTCCATTTTTTTTTTGCAATGGAATTGCTAATTTCCGGGCACAAGTTTGCGGTTCAGTTTTGTACAACTTTTCGCAGTAACTTCGACGAGCGAGAGTTGGACAACGCTGCGTATGAGTAACATTATGCAGAGAGGCCATAAGTTGAAGGTCCTGGCGACCAACAGGCCTCGGGTTAAATCCAAACTAGCAAAGCACTGGCAAAATTAGGCACCAATTCGACTGGCAAAATATTAAACTTTTAACTTTTCTAAAATTGCCGTTTTTTGTACCTTATCTAATAAAGTTGGAAAAGGGCAGGTTTTAATGTGGTTTTTAAGCCGAGAATTTTAACACATTTTAGTCTACCTCTCTCTAAATGATAAATAAAGTGAAGGACCTTAAAATTCTTTTCGCCCAGTGTCGGGGCGACAGTCATTATCAATAGTTTTTCCTGAAACGCTAATGACTTGGAAGTTAGTTTAGTCGTCGCTCTGATCCGCCAACCCTTCACCCTGACTTTTCATCCTTTTTCCCCGGTCCACGCCAAACGCGCTGTCATCATTTCCGCCAACTCCGTGGCAACATCCGCCCCGTCGGCACCCTTCATTTAAGAGAACCCTCCCCCCCCTCCAACTGAGATGACCAATTTCCGGGAAATAAAAGTGCATTGAACTCACGCTAAATCCGCCATCCAAGTGCTCATTGGAGATCTGCTTGAGGACGCCGACATATTTGAGATTATTGCAGAATTGCAGCGCCAGAGAACTGAATAGTTCCTGGGTGATGTCGTTGGAGAAACTCTTCGGGTTGCTCTGCATCGTTGAGATTAGCCATTTCATCAGCATTTGACCTGCAAAGCAAAGAAAGAAAATAGTTGTAACTGAATAAAACAACTTTGATCACAGCTGGTCCACTTATTCACTCGTTCTCTCACCCCTAAGTCGAAAAAAATAAAGGAAAACTTGTAGCCACTAAACGGAGAGATTTATGGGTGAGAGACGCTTGGGGTCGAAGCAAATCCCAAGTTGAGAAACCTAAAAAATGTGGAATAAATAATATTCTGGGGTAAGAGTCAGACAAAATGCTGCTCGGGAAAATAATCGTAATCGATGGGGGCACACAAGAGATACTCTACAAATATGGTTGCGATAATCTAATGGTTAGAGTAAAGAACCTTCAGTCTTCTATTTTTGAGCTTAGGAATGTTTGGACTTGATATTTGTACTTTGTATATATATAACTCATTAGTAAATGGATAATATTAAATCAGTCAAAATATAATAACTGTTATTTGCACATCTATTGTTTTATATACTGGATAAGTAGTTATGAAAGAATGCATTTATATAATCAATCTTATTTGTCTGTGTGTAGTTCATAAGTCCAATTAATCAATTGTCTTATTTGACTATATGGTATAAAGTCGCATGACTAATGGATCGATAAGATAAACAAAGTAAGAGTTGTTCATTAAAAAAAGGCCAATTATTAAAAATAAACAGTATTGAAAACCATATAAGATACAAATTATTGATTCATTGTTGAATATTAAATGGATTACTTGAAAGGTTTAAATATAAAGTCATTTAAGCTTAGTTAACAATGGTTTCAATACTAGATATTTGTAGATTTTATATAGAAGAAGACATAGCCTTAAAAGCGGCCCACTAAGAAAAAGAAAGTAATCACAATACCTTAGAAATAAACCCAGATTGAGATAGAAATAAGATTTTATATCAATTGCCAAATTCTCCCTATAAGAGAAGGACTTTTCCTGACAAACTGAAGGCACAAAAAAACTTTTTCGTAGCCAAAAAAAGCGAGACGAGAAACAAACTTACGCTGGCTGTCAGCGTGTGAGTGGGAAACAGTTTGCAGGAGCAGCAGGAGCAGATGTTTTGGATCGGAGGACTCGAGCAGGTCCACGCGTATCCATTGGATGCGTAGGCTAATTCCTACAACACCAGGTGTTTCCTCCATCTCTGGTTTTCCCCGGGAAAATCGAGTTTTCTGCGCCCGCCGGGCGGCCAATGACATTAGCTGGAGATAATGTGGTGGGAGATTGGGAACATCCTCCTGAGAATTCCATGGCGACTCCTTTTCCGAACCAAATTCAAGTTCCTTCGATGGCTGCTTGGCCAGCAGAGAGCACCAAAAGTTGCTCAGGGCACTGGACATATATATTGAATATATATTTGCTTCTAGATCGACAGACCTAGTTGAACTTTCTCTGATTAATAACAAATTTAAACTGACTGCGCGAATTCGCTAGTGTTTTTTTCTATTAGCGGAAAAAAATGAAATGTGTCGCAACTTATCAACATTATCAATGCCTGGAACATGACAACTGCGACACTCTCGACATCGTCTGTTTGCACACTCAGCGAAAATCGTAAAACTCATATAATTTAAAAAGATAAGAAGTACAATATATACAAAAAATAAACCATTTGTATATAATTACCAAACCTAAAAAGTATTTGGAACTCGCAATTTTAAGATTTTTTTTTATATTTCACTTATAATTCCATTTTAAATTTAAACTGAAATGCAAGCTAGTTTATTTCTGTGTATTGATAAGAAGGCAGTTGTTTGAGAGAGAAAACTAAACAAATAGAGTAATACTTTTTGGCCCTGAGAAGGTCGTCTGCTTTATCAGTCATGGTTTTTTCTTCGATGGCTCTCTTCCATTGAATCATTTTTCTAAGTTTACCCATTGAACCAATTAAAAAGCACGACGATTCGGACCAATTTCAAGTACGTCATTATTTTCTTTAATCATCGGGGTTAAATTTCAACGAAAATTTAACTGATTCAAGCGTTATTTCCCCTTTCTAAATTTCTGCAAGTTTGTTTTGGTTTTTATAATCTTTAATAACCATTGGCGTAATTGAAGTGTTGCTCAGTTAGGGACTTTAGATAGTGAACTGACTGATAGTGTCTGGGAAATTGATGAGAAGGGCGATAGATTAAATCGGTGCCATAAAGTGACGCAAATCAATAGAAACTGAATCGCCCCTTTCGATTTGATTACGTTCGTGTGGAATAAATTATTTTAAATAAAGAATACCTTCTTTTAATATCCCGAAGTAACTTTTCCCGATATTTTCCGTTCACACACCCATCGTGATACGACCCACAAGATCATTAGCACCCACCACATGCAAAGTTGATGCCGAGGATTGCCATTTTGACATCGATGATGGCCACGCATTTGGGGGCGGACCGGAAGGAAGCGGCAGCTTAGCTGGTCATCGGTGGCCTCATCAGCAGGCGGTATCTTTGTATCTTTGCATCGTCCGCTTTTGTTGTTTGTTGTTTCTGCTCCAAATGTCGTTGTTTCCTATTGTTGTTGCGCTTGGCCTTTATTGCTGGCGCCATCGCGGCGTTGTGGCAAACGGGCTCTGATGAAAACTGCGCCACCGACGAAGCACAACAAATTTGCATAACTGCTTGCCAGGCGAATGCAACAACCATACACAGAAAACAATACTTTGAAAATGGATTTTTTATACTTTAAGCTGAAGTTTATGATGTATTGGCAGTAGACGGTAAATAAAGGTAAAATTAATTAACAAAACATTTTTATGTTTGAAAGTGGTGATTATTTAACATAAATCAGTTAGTGTTTTTTTGTCAAAAACAGGTCAAATAAAAATCATCAAAAATCAAACGTTTTTTTTTGCAGTGCGTGTTGGGTAGTGGTGGGAGGTAAGTGCGGCTTAGAAGTAGTGGTGCGGTGGGTGGCAGCGGTTTTTGGCGCCTCACGCATGCATGCGTTGCATTCATCAACGGCAGATTGCCGTTCGCTCTCTTCATTCCGACAAACAAAACGGATGAGAACGGAACGATGGCAGAAAACCACAAAGCAGAACTCGAAATGAAGAAATGGGGGACAGATGCAGCGAAGAAATGGTTTGAAAGCGACCCCAAAATACCCATGCAGAAACCCTAAAAACTCCACTTTAAAATATATCAGTTTGTTCAAGACTTCAGACTATTCTTCAGACTATTCTTCAATAATTTATAAATAAAACTTATGAAAAAGTTTGAAACAGTTGCCTAAAATGTAAGACTGTATTATAGCGACAACGAAAAGCTAATTGTGATTTAAACTTAATGTACACATTTCTTAAGTTTCTTTATTTTGTTGTTATTTCGACAACAATATGCCAGCGATTACAAGGTATTAAAAGCAGAGGAAGTGAGCTTTATAGCCAGCTGCTTTCCCTTACCCAAAACAATGTTTCATTACGCTTTGGCCGAAAACATTGTCGTCTATACTTGGCGGCAGTCAGTCCTCCTTGAAGCTGGCCTCCGCCATCCAAATGGTGCTCTCATCCCGGCCAGAATCACTTCATCCGAGCGAAGCTGGCGAACGTGATGTTGTCGGGCATATAAATCAGATTTTTGCTCCGAAAAGCGCTGCCGGACGTTGCCTGATGAAAAGTCGCGACAAACAGCTTCTGCCGTTGTCCCCTGTCCATCCCGAATTTTCCCAGTCCCATCGCATCTTGCTGGAAAGCCACGAAGAATTGATGGCCACTTCAGAGACAATGACGTCGTGAAAGCGTGAGATACACAGGGGAAAAATATTGGCTAGAGGAGCAATTTTAATATAAAATGGCTTTGCAGAAAAGTGACCTAAAAGCTGCACTTCCAAGCTCATAACTTTTCTTACAGACATCCGATTTTAAGGTGGCATTCTTTAAAATGATTGTGGTCATATCCCCTAAAAATCTGTATACTCATCTTGTTTTCTAATTTTGGGTCGAGTTTTCGTCATTTTTACAATGTAACCCCTTTCCAAATTTTCGAAAAATAGCTTTACAGAAAAGTGACCTAAAACCTGCATTTCCAAGCTCATAACTTTTCTCAAAGACATCCGATTTTAAGGTGGCATACTTCAAAATGATTCTGGTTAAATCCCCAAAAAATCTGTATACTCATCTTGGTTTTTAATTTTGGGTCGATCTTTCGTCATTTTTACAGTGTAGTCCAAATTTTTAAAAAATGGCCTTGCAGAAAAGTGACCTTATAGCTGCACTTCCAAGCCCATAACTTTTGTTACAGATATCCGATTTCAAAATGGCATACTTTAAAATGATTGTGGCTTAATCCCCTAAAAATCTGTGTACTCATTTTGTTTTGTAATTTTGGGTCGATATTTCGTCATTTTTACAATGTAACCCCTTTCCAAATTTTCGAAAAATGGTTTTACAGAAAAGTGACCTGAAACCTGCATTTCTAGCCCCATAAATTTTGTTGCAGGCATCCGATTTCAAAGTGGCATACCTCTAAATGGTTGTGCTTTAATTCTCTAAAAATCTGTGTTCTCATTTCGATTTTTATTTTTGGGTCGATTTTTTGCCATTTTTATGATGAAATTTTCGAAAAATGGCCTTGCAGAAAAGTGCTCAAAAATTGCAGTTTTAAGCCCATAACTTTTCTTACAGACATCCGAATTGAAAGTGGCATACTTCAACTTTTTGATAATTTTTGATTTCTTGAACTTTTGCTTGTTTGTTTTTTCAGTGCAGTAAATTGCGTGTCCAGCTAAGCCCCCACTCAACCCCCAGTCGCTTTTTCCCCAAAATACCCCCCTCCCCATGCTGGAGCCTCTCTTCTTCTTCGCTTGTTTGCCCAGCGAGGCGTTAAAATGTTTGTTTGCATTAATTTGCAGCAGACGACAACGGGCGATGATGATGACGATGATGCTGGCGGAGGATCAGGATCCCCGGGTGCTGAAAAGCGGGAAGGCTGACAACGATGAGCTTACCAATTAGCGCTTTTGGACCCACCCCCCAACGCCCATCGCCCACCGATGGGTGTGGCATGTGTCAAAAACTGCGCCTCCCAAATGCCCGCGATGCGTTTGAAGAGCAAGTTTTCCGCCTCTTCAACTTCGCCAATTTTTGGGTGAGAGGACGATTTTTGGAAATAGTTTCGCCTGAGTGCCGGAAATTTGCAGACGGAATTTTCAAACGCACAACAATGTGTGCAAAAGGTATTAAGATATACAGTGGATTTTCGATATAAGAAACTTTTGGAAAAGTTATGTATGAGAAAAAATAAAATTCTTTAAAAATGTAAGATTCTCACAAAAAATTTGTTATTAGAAATGCAAACGCAGGCAAACTTAAATTAAATTATTTATTGCTTGCTATTCAGTTTATTTTTCTGAGTTAAGCCAAACTAGATTATGAAGAAAACATTATATACTGCGTATTAAAATGTAGTTTTAAGAAAAATCATAATCTGTTCTGTACGTCAGTTTCCTAACTGAAAATTCCTGAGATTTTTCATTCTTGGGAGACGAATTTAAAGTCTTTTCCCGAAAGTATGCCACACATTTTTGAGCTGTGGGGCGATGGAACTAGAACATAGAATATAGAAATATATGCGTGTGCACTTCAAACACTTGCGAAAATGTTAACCTGGCAAGTTTTGCCCTCTCCTCTATATTTACATACAAAATTTCCCAATTATGCAATCATTCAACTTGATTTGGCTTGCTTTTCTTGACTGATTTCGAGCAGGGAAATTGCAGGTGGGGGAAAAGGAAAAGTGTGCTGGAGCTGAAGCAGGCAAATTAATTGTTAACTTTAAGCAAACAACAAACGCAATCAAACGTGGAGCAGCAGCTCGAAATAAAAATGAAAGGTAAGGAAACCGGAAAGGGGAAATAAAATTAAATGTTTCCCGAGAAACGACACAAAAGGCAAACAGTAAATGCGCAGAAATCGCGGAGGTAACCTTTATATTTCTCCCGCCGAAATCCCTTTCCCTGAGCTTTTTTCTTCTCAATATTCCTGCCTTTGGCATCGCTTCACTGAAGTCGCAGATTGAAGCATAAAGTGCAGCTCTAGAAGCGAAGTTAATACTCTAAAAGATTTCCAACGAACGAAATGAAGAGAAATGCCAACTAAAAAGATGGCATTACAAAATCGGGCAAGAGGTCTTGCGTTTTGACTTGTGGGGAATTGACAGTTCATTAATGGTTATTACTGACATAGGGCTTAAATAAGCATTGTATAAAATAACTTTCAGTGTAGGGACTTCATAAGAAAGGTTAACAAAAATCATTTAAATAGTTTCTTATCCGATTTCCCTAATACACACCGCCCAACTTTAAAGTATTTAAGCAAGAGTAAATTGATTAATTTTCTTTATATTTTAATATAGATTTTCCAAAGTATTTAAAATAAATAAATTTTTATTTGCAATCTATCTTAAATAGTTTTCAATTTAGGGTGTTTTTTTCTTCATACACACCCGCTACACTTTAGAGTATTTAAGCACGAATATTTTTGGGCAAACTTACCTTCGAACTTTTCATATGCAGCGAAGCTTAACTTTTCCGGTACATAAGATGAGCCGCGTCGCGAACCAGCTCCCCCAGCCACGCCCCCTGCCACGCCCCCGGCGGATTCGGGTGGCAAGGTTGCCGCCAGTAGCAAAGAAGAGGAGCTCGGAGTGGCCAAGAGGGTTGTCTCATCGCCAGGTCCCAAATTCGGGGGATTGGAGCTATTATTGCCCGCCGAAGACTTCTCGACCGTGAAGCTGGCGACCTTCTTCAGCACATTGCTCGACAAAAGGGGCGTGGTGGGCGTGCCGAAACCGGGGGGCGGCGGTGGGAGTGGCAGCGGTGCCGTGTCATCCTCAACATTTTCAGTTGCTGCAGAATTCGTTTGAGACTGCACAGGTGTTTGAGATGATTTAAACGAAATTATAACAGTTGATTGCGTTTCCAGCGAGGAGGTCGTAGCTCCTGCCCCCGAATGTCCTGAAAGTCCTGAAGCTCCTGCAAACGAACGAATGAATGACGAGGCAATGGCATTAGCTGGATAAATTTGTATAGAAATTCCCGCCTTCGGTGCTTAAATAAGTGAAAAATTGAAGATAAATGTATTCCTGGCATCGCATAAGTCACTTCCCATAATTACTGGTTAAATTGTAGAATATTCAGCAAACATTTGCCAATCATTTATCATATCTGCTGGTGGTGCGGGAAAACCGCGGGAAATTATGAATAGCCTTGTATTAAAAAGGAGTTCAATGCACACGGAATGTTTTTTTTTTTTTAATTAAAACAAAAATCCATTTTGAAAAAAACCGTTTATTAGGAGCAACATTAAGCAAATATTTTAATTATATACATTAACTATATCCAAATTTATGGCTGGCAGGGAGCAAAAACATTCTTTAAAAAATTGTATACATTTTCTGGTGCATTGAATGATTTTTTCGTCTTTAATATTGATCTTTAAATAAGTTCTGGTTTCTGGCTTTAATAATCCCTCACCTCTGAGATCCCCTAAGCAAAATCATGTCAATTTTTAAATGATTTACATTCATTAAATCGAAATTCATGTTCGACGGGCCCATAAAAACATGCGCCTGCCGCCGCAAAAAGTAAACATATAATTTCTCTAGTGCATTAAATCTTCCCCTGGATCCTTGATTTCGGGTAGCAAATTTTATGGTCCCTCCACTCCGATTGAGTAGACCCCGTGGAGCGCTTATCGCAGCCCATCATCATTGACTGTGTACCCAAGTGGCTTGCACCGCCTCCCCGTTTTCCCTGCTCTTCGATTTGGCGGATAACTCCCGCGTGCATCATTCTATATTACATGATTTAATTAAAATTTAAACTTTCGCTTTTTTTTGTTTCGTATTTTTGCTGCTTCCCTGCGGAGCCACAATGGGGAATCAACAAAGTCAGGAAAAAGGAAACTGAAGCTGAGCCTGAAGCGCCAGTTTCCGGCCAACATTTTGTAAACAATGAAGACGTGTTTGCAATTTTTAAGTTTTTACAAATGTTTTTTATCCTGTTGGGTAGTATTTTTTCTGAAGTACATGGCGATATACCCCCAGCCAGAGGCCCGGAAAAAAGCAGCGAACCATGTTCGCTTTTGTTTATTTTTTGTTTATCGAGCTGAGCGAGTTGGGCGAACGCAATTAGGTGAATTTCGGGGCAGGGGATGCTGGCAGATTCCTGGCAATTATATATTTAAAATATCATGTGGGGGCAGAGGAAAACGAGTCCTTGCATAAATGTGCCAATAATTACTTTCGGGTCCCTGCTTGTTTTTGTTCATTCTTTTTTTTAACCATTTTTCTCGCGTTATTTTTTGTGTTTTAAAGCGCCGCTGATCGGATCAGTTTGGAAAACAAAGAGGTTTGGTTGGGCGAAAGGGGCAAATGGGAAGGCTGTTGCTACATGAGTTAATTAAAAAACTTTGCATTAAGGTCCAAGGGCAACACCCTTTTCTTGTGGGTTTGTATAGCGTTTTTTTTAAGGTAATTAAAAGGAACAAATATATATTTTAAGTAATTACCAAGTATTGTGGATGGGGGTTGCATTGTATACGGCCTAAGAATAGAGTCGTAATTAAATATTTAAACTTTAACTTTATAGTTTCTACGTAAGTTTTAATTTAAATTGTCTTAAAAAAACTATTGTAATGTGTTACGAATCACTAGAGTAACTAATGGGTTCTCAAGATGTATTAGGGCAATGAATTTTTAAGTTTATATTTTTGGCTGTCACCTTTTAAGAGGAAGACAGACACTTGAATTTTGAAAGAGTGAAACAACACTCAATCTACAGTTTGACAAGCACTTCTGGGCGACCCGTGTTTACCTTTGAAATTGGCGCAATCCTCACAAAAAAAGGGACAAGCTTTTAGACATGTCTCTTTCTTCGTTTTTTTTTTGAAGGACCTGAAGGACCACTCTATAGAGCACACATATGGTTACAAGTGGGACACAGCAAACAGGACAACAAAATTGGTAGATTGACATCTTTGAAGAGTTAAGGCGTTTTTTATTTAATATATCGCACAGGTTTTCTAAACCAATAATTAAAATATCTACAGCCTTCTAAAAAAAAGCATTTCCGGTTAATTAAATTAATATTATTTTGGTTCATTAATCAGTAATTACTTTATGCAAACTCTGTGTGCTAATTTAATTCCCGATTTTACTAAACGATTAAATGTATCGGAAATATTAAAATTGCTTTAAACATTTTGCATATTTTATGAATGGTTCAAAATGACCTCTTTTGTTGAAAATGCTTTTTTATGCCTGAATAGGTGCTTGCTTCAAATTAAATTAATTTATGACCTCGGGCAAAACACTCACACTAAATAAGAAGCTTTAATAATGGGTCAATAAAAAGCAATTAGTTTGACTTATTATCTACGCATCATCACGATTTTTATCTGCAATTTAAATTTTAAATAATTGTTTTTATTTGTTTTTACTGAATATAATGCGAAAAATTGTATTGCAGTATTTATTGTTCTATAAATATGAACATTGATATTAGGCCATGCTATTGTTTAATAAATTGAAAGTTTAGAAATATAATATTAAATATTTGTTGAAAAGGAATGAATATAATCATTTTTTTCATTATTATTTTAAGATTTTCTTTTTAGATTACTACTCTTATATTTTCTTAATAATATTTTAGATAGATATTTAAAATATGTTATATTCTCACCCGTTTCGTGTGGAGTTGATGCTGTAACTGCAGGTGGTGTTTGACTGACTGCGGCTGTAAATCGGGATGAAAGATTCTGTAGCTCGACCTTTTTAGCCTTGGAAACGTTGAAGAGTTCCCCGTTCGCCAGTGGCGAATCCACTCGAGGTCCAGATCCTGCTGGGCCGCCCTCCATGTTTCCCGGGGTCAAAGGTGATCCCGTCCCACTGCCCAAAACCTGGGCCAGCTTCTTGCCCAACTGCAAGGCCATGAGTTCTTCGTCCGGCGAACTCTCCGCCGGGCTATTGGGTGCTACCAAGAGATCGGTGTTGAGCAATATGGCCTGATCCGCCTCCTCGACTTCCTGAAGGTCATTGGCTATGCTGAGGTAGGTGACTTGAGTTAAGCTCAGGCAGGCCAATTTATCTGCTCGGCAGCGTTTCTGTAGCTCAAGGACCGCTCTTGCGGTGCTCGGCGACAAGGTGTCCACCGAAGTCACACTTATTTCGCTCAGTGGACGATCGCGTTTCGATTTCGCAGTGTGTTGAAGATCAGTTTTTGTTGCATTTAAGAAGTGCTTGGGTATGATCAGTTCGTCCACGGGATCTGTGAATAGGGAATCATTGCTTGAACAACTTGTGCACAAAGATTTCCGATCGTAGGGATATTGGCGATTGTTTTGATGGGTATGATGATGGCGATGAATATGATGATGTTGCCTCTGTCGCTGCTGCAATTCCTGATTTCGATGCTGAGTTAGGGTATCATTGGAGGCATAGCAGCAATCATCGCTGCTGCAATTGTGATATTCTAGCGAATCGGTGTAATCCAAACTGACCACGTCGTCTTTATTTTCGGACAGCAGATCAAAGTGTTAAGAATGTTAAGAAGAAAGAGAAATAGACAGACAATCGAGATAGAGAAGTACAAGATTGTAATGATCTAAAAAAAACTATGTAACGTAACCAGAGTTAAGATTCAGAAATTAAATGTGTGCATTTTTAAAAAAGGGAATAATATAATAAAAATAAATACTACATAGAACGATTATGTGTGAAGAAAAAGTATTTGGCAGTCTCAGATTTTCTGAAATGTTATTTAAGCTTGCCGGGCCGAAAATTAGGCAATCCGGAATATGGATCATTAAATGGATCATAAATTTTCAATAAGAATTCTAGGGTTTATTCAATTTAAAAAAAATTCAAATTATCTGTTCGATTTACCCGGGATATTTTCACCAAAGTGGCCAACTATTGCGATGAGCTCGCTGTTCAAACATTTCGAATTTAATACAACAGAATGCCAACTGCGGCTCCAAAATGATTTATATGCCATTAACCACGACTGCGATGGCTCATTCACAAAAATGCGACATGTGTAAGAAATAATAATTAAACAAAAGTAAATAAAAACAAGGCGCCACTGAAACTGGAAAGAGCGTCTACAAAATGAGAGGCTAAAAAGAGAGGCATATCTCAGAGAGACGAAAAACTGGAAAGCCGCAAAATTATGAAAATCTATGTGGAAAATGGTCAAATGGAAGGAAAAGCATGGAAAAAAGGTGTGTGTCTGCTGCGGGCCAAATGAAAATGAAAATGGGAAAGGTTCGAGAAAATCCCCCAAAAGGTAAACAAAGAAAATCGTACAAAACAGAACCCGAAAACTGGTTTTGGTTATGGAGAAAAGAGATGGGGGTTACAGAAAAATAAGCGTTGGCGTCAGTTGCCTTCTCTCTTTCAAAAAATAAATTGTTTAATTTGTTGTCCATGGGCAATTAAGGCAAATTGAAAGCAAAACAAAAGCCGAACTGGAAAGATGAACCCCGATAACAAAGGAAAAGGTACTCCCCCTTCCCAGTTTAAAAAAAAAGAAGAAAAAGAACACCAAATAAACACCTGTAGATTGCTAATATTGTCATTTGTAAGTCACTTTTCCTCGAGCACAGTCACTTTTCACACTTTTCCACACCGTATTTGCATTTGCCCTTCTGTACTTTGTTTATTTTTGGTTATATCTATTTTTCTCGAGGGTCTTTCGATTTCAACATGGAACGATCTGCGCGGAAGCGAGTTCACGGCGTTACTAACAACCAACTGGTTTGCTTTGCGAAGGGGGGAATGGAATTAAGACCCACTGGAAAGTCAAAAGCCGCACAACAAAGCGAATGAGAAACGGGGAGAACTGGAGGGACAGAGAGAGTGAGTGTGTGGGGAGAGAGCGTAAATCGGAGAACCGCCAGAGAAATATATATGGCATATTATGCATATGTATATATATTTTGTTGACGGTCTTAAGCTCGAGTTACATGAAACGAAAGCAGAGCAGAAACGTGAAAAAGATCATAGGAGATATGATCGACAGTAAAGCTACCTAAATAATAATGACTAAAAAAATGTTTGGTTTAAGCAGAAATGTGAAGGAGATTATACCTATGAAAACTGATTAATTGATATAATTAAATATTTTATTGCAACAAATTTTACAATATTATATTTATTACTTTGAGGATTACAGAGATAATTAGCTAAAAAACTAAAATTATCTACAGTTATTATGATCATTTATTATTATTATTATTATGTAAAATAGTTTATAAACATATTATAGTAAGCCTTTCATACTCTTGTAGACAAACCGCTCCACAAGTTCAGCATACCCAATATATTGAAAGTACTCATTAGCAAGACAGCGACTTCGGAGGCAAAACTCGAAAAAGGGATTTTACCAACGTTGAGCTTACCCGCAACCACTGTAGTTGTTGCTGTTGCTTGAGTTGTTTCTGCAAAAAGCTGCTCAATGAACGCACAGTGGTCATCATTGGAGACTTTTTCTGCCCGATTTTTTCTGGGTTGGGGTTTCGGTGGAGGTTGTGGTGCTATTCTTCTTTTTCGAGGTTGCTTGGTCGTTGGGGGAGTTTCGTAAACTTGTTGTTCCTCTTTCGATAAAATACCCAATGATTCATCTTCGTCTTCAATTTTTTTGTGTTGAATCGAAAGTTGGCAAAGTTGGCTTAAGCTGCAGCGATCCACATTTTCAGTTTGTAGTTGCAGTTGTTTTTTCAATCTCGGTGGTTTCGCAGGCGCTTTACAAATAAGGAATTCATTTTGCATACTTTTGGGCTGCAGCAATTTTCAATTCTTGTATTGTTATATTTGATACCATATAGTTTTTCATTGCAAAGCCTTTTTCAAAAAAAGAATTTCACTTTCTACTATTCTGTTTTTTGGCTGGATGAAAAAAGTTGCTGAGAGGCAAGCAGAATGTTAGGTTTTTAAGATATCGAAGCATTCTTTATCTTCCCTTAGGTTCATGGCTTTTGTGGACACTGATTTTAATGCATTTTTTTGAATTTTGTATAGTTTTCGAGAAAATGTACAAAAAACTGACAATTCCGATAAATGCTACTAGGAATAAATTGCTTAAATTAAGGTATATACAAAAAATTAGATAAGGCGGAAACTTTGGAGTATTAAATAAATTTTTAAATACATAATTTGTATTAATGTTACAAAAATGCCATTAAGTACTTATGTACTGTAATCATTGTTTTCAGTTTAGTAATCCTTTTTACATTCGACCTTCAGTTATGGTATATTTCATTAAGTGCTCCCAAAAGTACGCAAAACCAATTTTGGATTTGATTGTTTAGTATTTGAAATGGTCAATTATTGCAATACTATAAACAAGTTGTAAACAACATTAAGCAGTTGTTAAAACTACACACATAGACGGGCAAAAAGGATGCTAGATGAGTGAGTTTTCAACTTTACATGGAACTGTACAAGCAAAACTATTAAAACTAATTGCCATAAATATTAGCGGCCAGCCACGTGCCATGCCAAAAAACTTTTCCACCGTAATGTGCCCATAGATGTGTGGGTATTATTGTGTCGGTGTTAGTGGGTATCCGTGGGTGTGGGTGCTTAATTGAGCACGTTGCTTTAACTCCGCCAAAGGCTGCAGTTCCCCCAACAAAAAAGTCCTAAGCCAAAACTCAACGAACGAGGAAAAATCCAGCCATTTCCCCTAAAATTCCCCCGGTTTTTCATGGTTCCCCATCTGCTCTAGGGTATTTGGTTTCGTTTGCAGAGTTTGCGGATGTGTTTGCTTTTCAGGGATAGGGGAAAATCGGGAGCCAGAGCCATGATTTTTGGCAGTTCATCAAATTATGCTCAACAGTAGTATTTATATCACAAACAAATTATTTTACTATAAATATGCAGGGACTTAATTAAATTGAAAATCAGTTACCAAGGTCTAAAAATTAAAAATGGTTTTTAATAAACAAAATTTATTAGAACCACTGCGGACTCTAATTTTACTATACTTTATTTCACAAAATTTTGATGGTAATTATTAAGATTATAATTCTCTTCCTTCAAATGCTGTCGCTTGTCATAAGCGTAATATATTTAATCATGCTATCAGTTTCTACGGTACTCATTGCAGTCGATCAAGATTGAATGATGGATCTTTATTCCTTGAGCCTGATGCGATTTGTAGGGAGTTTCCCGCCCCATTCCGCACCTCCTTCCGGCGCTCCTTTCTTGGCCCCATGAATTATGAATTTATGCATTGAAAAAGGCCCCAAAACAGCTGGGTGCGTACGAGTGAATGAAAGGGAAAATCGCGCTGGGGGGTTTCGGGGGCTACGGCTATATCATCTCTCTGGGCTAAAAGGGAATTTTTGATATGGAAAGCTCCCTGTACCCCTCATCCCCCCTCCGGTTTCCCTCGACGCGGCACGTTTAGGATTTTTCGTTGATTTGATTTTAGGCTTTGCCCCGCTGCAATGCCAAAAAGCTTCTTGCATTCGATGGCGGGAGGAGGTGTTTTCAGTGGGGCAGTGGGTATGATGGAGCATCTCTTTTCGCTTCTGAATTGCTTTTTGATATGCGCCTCAGCCTTGAACGCGTTTTTCGCATCTTTGTAAAAGCCCGCGTAAAAATAGAAGCCCAGAATAGAGAACTTGCTAAAAAACCGATGGAAAACGTTTGCCTAGCTATCTTGCCTTAAATTTGACTATATTTTATAATCAAAGAGTGTTTAAGGTACCATAAATATTCAATAAGGCTTGGGTAAACAATTTGGTAATTAAGTTTAGTCTTGTTAATCAAAAAGATTAAAAATCATATATCAGGTTTCTTTTGAAAAAGATTGGCAAAAAACTAAGTCAATTAATTAAGATACTTTAAAGCCTTTCTATGATTTTGAAACTAAACTAACACCAAGCTATTCTTTATATATATTTTTTATTTTGTAGACAAAATTAATTAGGCTAACAACAAGGTAAACATGATAAAACTTTTTATTAACTCGATTTTAAATATCCAAAATCAACATACAAATCCCATCTTAAAATTAATTTTAATTTAATTAGATTCTTATATGTTACCATAAATTTGTTGCCAATTAATTTAATCAAGGTGTACCATTTCACCAAGAAACTCAATCCCGTTTCAAAACCATATTTAGCAAATTGATAATAATTTATTGTATTCCCGCCATTCGAAACTATTTTCATCACCAACAAGAGCATTAAGAGTTCTGTTTCGTGGGTCTTAACCCTTTTCCCTCCATCGAAATATTTTTCAGCTTTGAGTGATTTTTTCAACGTTTGTTTTTCCTTTTTTTTCTGGTTGTACGAGACGCCTGCAGCTTTTGAACTCGACGCGTTTTTCTTATGGCTCTTAATAGACAGTCGTGAGTTTTTGAAGTGGGTCTCCGTTCCATCGCCCAGTATTTTGGGTTCTGTTTTGTGTTTCTCGGTTTTTTTGTTGTTTATTTTTTCACTTTTCAGTTTCCCAGTTGCTGAGTTATGATGGCGAACGTGCCTTTGAGCTTCTGTTTTTGTTTTTGTGTGTGTGTTTGGTGCTTGGCTTAATATTTTTAAAGGGGGCATCTTAAAGATTTCACATGAATAACTAAAATCTATAAATTTTTGATTTCACTTTGCCAAAAAATGAGAGAGCAAAACAAGAGCGCACTAACTAAAAAATATTATTTGGCCAGGGCAAAATGCCAATAAGTTACAGGCAGCCGAAAAACTTGAGTTTTTGGCTTCGATGAGAGAAGGGGAAATAGGGAAAGGGGAAGTGTTTGCAACAGAAGAAGGTGCCACAACAACAACAAATATAACAACGGGGGAAAGCTGAAAAATTGGGAAAAGTCAAGCTCTGTGGAAAAGGGGGAGAAAAATGAAGGGTAGAAAATTTCATAAAAAACTTCAATGAAAAGTTTATTTTTTGTTCGCTTTTTTGTAGTTGTAAAAGTTTCCCAAAAAAATTCTTATTTAAACTCCGCTTAAATTGCAATAAAGTCGAGTTGAAGAGAGTTTGATGTACAGTCCGTTTCATTATTTTAAAGTTAGTAGATATGATGGCTCAATACTACATTTTTGCCAAAATGTCAAATAAAATTCTAAGCCCATTTAGCTAAAAATTACTGTCAAAAAATGTATGCAAATGTATAACAATATGTTATGAATAAAAATAATATACTGGTATCAATTAAAAGGACCCATAAAGTATAGAAAATATAGTTGATAATTAAGACAATTGTGGCAATTGGCGATTGGAAACAATTATCCATTTAACTGTCAATTATTTCCTTCACACCACAATGACAAATTTAATTGCTGTCATATTGGTTTTCCTATTGAATAAAAATGTTGTCAACGTGGTTGGTTACCACATGTCACTTGTTGTTGACAACTATCCTTACAGCACTGAGACGCACTGTTGTCTGAAGCTGTAGAGTTCTATATTAAAACAAAAGTCCCTGAACAACAAGTAAAAAATAAAAGTAGAAAAATTCCAAAGCAACAATAGAGGTAAAAAATAAAGTTGGTATATTGAAAAATGCAAGGAGAAAAAAGAGTTTTTTTTTGGAATAGAAAAAACCTGACAAACTGAATTTGATGCACACCAACAATAACATCTAAAGTTACAACAACAAATAAAGTAAAGTTCTTAACAAGGAATCAACAATATAAATAGCAACAACAAAACATGGGTGCACAGAGAAATAATTCATCTAGAGCTTGTACATTTTATTGCAATATATCCTTTAAAATTGTATTACATAAATTTCAGTCTTATTTTCGGTTGAAAACTAGTTAAGAATATTTTACCAGATATAACATTTTTATAAATATTATATAGTTTTAATTTTATTCTGTGAGACTACATAAAAAGTATTGAAACACAATAAATCCTTTTGAAATTATTGACCAATCTTTTCTCTGTGCACTGCTATGGGAAACTTGGGAATTGACTTACGAAAATCTATTTGTTCTGCGCTGGCATCCAATTGTCCATGCTCCACTTCCGTTTCCGCTGTGGTCCAATCGCCGCTTCCGTCGCCACCGCCGCCCAAATTGACCTCCAAGCTCGATCCCGTTTTCGGCGAGTGTAGGAATGCTTCGCGAATCCGTTTTTGTCCCATCAAACGGCTGAGGACGCGAACTCGGCTGTTTCGTCTCTCCACCATGGCCCCGCCCACTCGGCACTCGGAACCGCCGCCGCCTACCCCCATCCGCAATGCACTGGCGCCACCTGGCGGTGACTTTTCATCGGTGCTCGCCGACCGATTTTGCGAATTTCCCATGTTTTTGCTGCAGTTGTTGTGGTTGTGCTGCAAAAGAAGTTTACAAAAATCAATTAAAAAACTTTTCAATCAGTCGCATTGTTTGCTTCGGATTTTCAACAATTTATACACTTTTACTCCATAAAACGTGGGTTTCGTGAATGTATTCGCCAAAATATATTTCTTTAAAATTCTTTATTACGATTACGATTTAGTCAACGTGTTGTTGGCTTATATAATGTTAAATAAAGGGAATTTAAAGTTTAAATTCAGGGGAATGCCATGGAATCGGTAAAAATAATTATTTATAATCTAAAAAAGCCTAGGAAATAAGTTACATTTTAATTAAAATATATTTATAAAATTGTATGTAATCACTTTGACGATAACAATATATTTAATTGATTATATACTTATTTTTAAAAAACACTTTTAATTAAAAATGGCTATTTTAGCGCATTTGAAACTCGTTTAACCAATCAACTAATTTTGCTTCTACTTTTTTCTGTCGAAAGGTACAAACTTTTGTGTGCAGAAATGTTTCAAAAATATGAAATGAATTAGTTGCATAGGTAGCTGAAGGGGTCTACGATGGTTGACAAAAGTTGCTACTTTACTTTGTTTGATTTCTAAAGGCAAGTTCATTTTGGTGGGAGCGGTTCTGTTGCTGTGTGTCAATAGTCGAGAACCCGGGGCTATTGAAATTGCAGCTGCATCAGAATGAGAAATCGTTGTTCTTCCTTCGTTCCCTCATCTTACCCCCTCAACTGCAAATTGAACTTTTACTTTTAAGCTAGTTTGGGCGAGAAATTTTCCATCGGTAATGATCATTAAAGAGAGATTTTGGTTTAGTCGACAAAAGGACGGGGGATAGCCATTGTTAGACATCTGTCAGGTAGTCGGTTAAAGGAAAGTTGTATTGAAATCTATTTGCATTTCTGCAAAAGTTTTCGATTTCAAGGCTTGCGAAATTATTTTCAGCATTAAAAAATTGAATTCTATTTGTGGTAAATTTACTCAAATATTTTGGTTATGAAGGATGAATTGTTGAAGTTTTTTAAAAGTTTTCCATTAATATATGACAAAACTACATATAATAAATGGTACTACCTATTTTTAATTTGATGTTTGCTCCACCCATAACTACTTATCTTTATTTCTTAAACTTATTCCGTTTCCACCCGAGATTTTTTCTTATCTGAGCCCAAACACTTTTGTTGACTTTTGTTGGTTATCTTACAACCGATAAAATCACCTTGATATTGCGGGCTATCTATCAATCAAGTTCAATGACTTAATATTTCGCACTCCCATACAAATTTTCAACTTTTATTAATTACAGAGAGAGAAAAATGAATGGAATTTCAAGAGCGGAAGGGACAAAGTATTCTGGGAACTCACGGCTCTCTCATAAATCACAATAAAAACAAATTAGGAAATTTTTTATTGGTCGGAGCTGTAGAAGCCACCTTGTTTTTATTAGGCCTCGAAAAATGGTGGACTAATTGAAAGACTCGTCGGAGAAAGGGAGAGGTGTTCAAAATTAATTGGCGGCAATAAATTGCTTGCTGTTGTCCGCCCACGTGACTCATTTTCAGTTTCTTGTTCCTTATTGGTGGTCCTTTTCACTTTGGAATAATGAGGAGCGGGAGCATAAACACCCTTTAATGGATTTCTGTTATTAAAATATTGTCTATACTTTAAATACTTTTAAATAAAATTTAAAAACAAAATCATATTACTTAATAAAAAATTTTTTTTTTTTAAATTTGTTCATCAAAAACATTAATTTCTTAAATATTTATAAATAATTTATTAAATATTTGCTGTATAAATTGATATTTTTAAATATAAAAAGTGTTTAGGAGAGATTTTTTTACCTTCTCTTGAATGCTTGGTGTCCTTCACACAAATCAGTATTCAATTATGAAGAAAATAAAAACTTGAAGTGCGGAGAGGGGAGAGGGGATGAGTGGTTGAGGCAGTGAAAAGAGGCCTTTCCAAAAGAAAGCACGTGAAACACATTTTCTTAATTGTGTCAAAAGCGCAATTTTGTGCAATTTGTGTGAAATGAAAGCGAAAGTAAAGCACACAAGAATACATATATATATAAGTATGTATATAAACGTAAGCAAAAGCTTACGCATCTAAAACTCACACCCACTAGTTGAAAAGGGAGCGCACTCCCAGTGATTTTCCCTCTCTTTTTTCCGGTGCAATTTGTTGGACAAATCTGCTTTTCTTTTTTCTTTTCGGGCGCGGCAAACTTAAATTTCGCTCTTTCACTCTTTTTCTTTCTTTATTTCTATTTTGATTGTGTTGCGGGGGCTCCTCCACTGCTTTTTTTTGTGCTAATGTGTCAGGTTCGTGAGGTTTTCTATTTCCGCACTTTGGTTTCACTTGGAATTTCGCTGATTAGTTTTGGGATCTGGCAATATCCGTTTCCGCTTAGCATTTCTGCCTTTTCTTTGGCTCATGGCCAGCGCACAATAAACAATTATATTCACTATTTAATTGCAAGGAGCAGGAAAAGCTGAAAATGCAACTGCAGCCGTCAGATGAAGTGTCACAACAAATCGGCAGCCGAATAGAAAACCGAGTGCAAATCAGCTGACTCACGGTCCTAGGACAACAAAAATGCAGGAGAAACACGAAGCACCAGCGGGAAAAATCGATGGCACACTGACTGGAAGCTCCATCGAAAGCCGAGAACCTCTCTCCCCGAGAGAGAAAAGTCGGAGAACCCACGGCAATTGGGGGAGAAATCCGGAGAACTCGGCCTGATAACAGCTGAGCGCCAGCGTTATGAGTTTGTTTATTACTTTTCGGTTTTTGGCAAAGGTTGCGGATAATTCCGACTTTTAAATACCCTGCCCAGATTGTAAGTTAGATTTTAAAAATTTTAAGTTGTATAAATAATACCATTAGCATACAATTTGAAGTGAGAGCTTATAGAAGAACTCGTTACACATTTTTGATAAATATATTGCGTTCAAAAAATAATTATTAACATTGTATGGTTTTTTAGAATTAAGTAGAGTCTTAAAATTAGGGAAGTTAAAATTTATAGATTCAAAGTATGATAATGCCTTTGATAACCTAGGCTATAAATATTAATTATACAAATAATTATCAACATTATATGTTTTTTTTTTTGAATTAAGTAGAGCGTTAAAATTAGGGAAATTTAAATTGATAGATTCAAAGGTGGAAGCCTAGGCTATAAATAATTGGTGCTAACCAAAATCCAAAAGCCATACCTCTTCGTAGCTATATAGATTTAAGAGCAGCGTCAGTCACTCTCCATTAGAGATTGCGATTCCGATAGAGATACCCTTTAATTGTAGCTCACATCTCGGTCAGGCAAATCGAATCGGATGGCTCATTAGCATCGCCGGGAATTGGGGACTTCATTTCGGGGCCACGATATCGGGGCACTCGCCATGAGTCATTGTCCAGGCACAATCAACCGACACACACGGACGTACAACAGTGGAGCCCCACAAATACAAATGCGGCTGGTCCCCGGGCAATTGCAATTGTGATTTTATGAGCTTTTCCGGGCAAGCTTCTGTGAGGGGCTTTGAGCATCGATAGCCCGGCTTCTGTCGCTGCGGTTTATCCGTGGTCTACACAGAAAAAAAAAGCCTAGGATGTCCATTCATTCCATATCATCATCATTCTAATTTAATACTATTTGCATTACAGTTAGCATAATTCAATGAGTTTATTTTTACTTATTATTTATTACAAATATATTTCGTTAAGGCATTGCAGAATAACAATAACACATTTTTTTACATTTATTTTAGTAAGTATAAGTTAGAAGGGCATAGATAAACACAATTTTAAGAGAGTTCGTTCACATTTTTGGCAGTGTTGTAACGCTTATCAAGCCCACCTCTTATTTTTATATCGCCACTCTCTTTTCAACCTTTGGGCAGTGCGAATAAACGGACTTTGCATACATAAAAATACAATTCTATTTACTCATTTATAAAAGCGACAATAAAATGTTTAGCTCGGCTTGAATGAACGACTAAGGAGGGGAATTTAAACGAGGAGGAGTTCCCACTGCGCAAACGATGATGTAACATTTCGAATGGTACTTATTTTGTTGTTTGTTCGTAATGGTTTTGGTGTTGGTCAACTTTATTGCGATTTTCTTATGTTTGCACATGGATAAAAAATATATAAATAGGCTGTTATCGCTTGTAAAAGCGAATGGATAATGAGTAATTTCAAAGATGGCTGAGCAGATAATTAATAAAATATAACATTAAATATTTCTCCCTTTTAAACTTACATTTTATAATTAAGACATAAATAACTAAAACATTTTCAATTTTTCGGACAATTAGGTCTAAAACAAGGTTTAGGAATTTTAAATATGATTTGATTATCAGTGCATATTTGTACTTTAAAAAATGTAAACTTATTTGAAATGACAAATTACACAAAGTTAACATATTTAGAAAAATACTTTTTGATTTGCGGGTAAATTTAAAAATTAAGCAATAAATTTATAAAACTTTTTTTCCCCGAAACAATTAATTAATTGACGAAAATTCGGTGTTATTTTCTACAGAATAACATTATCAAATTCTAATAATTTATCATACCCATTTTTGGTTAGGGCTTAAGTCGTATTACTCTTTATCTTCGCATTTATTTTTTATGGTATTTCGTTTTCTTTCGTTCAGGCGTTAATTTTTTGCGGCTTTTCGCACATTTTTCTGTTTGTTTTTGTGGGTCATGAGCATGTGTGTGAATTAAGTTATTGTTGTTGCAAAAAAAGCTGCACAGAGAAAAATAAAAAATAATAATTTTTTGAATAATTTGGACCAGAGAATCAATATAATATTTGTAAGTGTAATATAAAATAACATATGTTTACAGTATCGCAATATAATTTTAAGACATGAACAAAAAAGGTAAACGAATTCCGGACTTGCAAATATTACTATGGAAAAACCGTATTAAGAGTTTAAGAGGGAGCGAGAAGGAGAGTGGACAGATATATATTCAGTATTGGATCTGTTTTTTTC